CTCACAAAAGATTCTTAGTAGTCTCCTTATACATTTGAAACAAGTTTCCCGGGCGCCCGGCTAGCTCAGTCGGTAGAGCATGAGACTCTTAATCTCAGGGTCGTGGGTTCGAGCCCCACGTTGGGCGACTTCTTTTAGGGCAAATTCTTTGAATTTGCTTCCAACGCTTTACCTAATTGATTTCGTGTCATAGTACCTTGGAGTAATTCCCCATGGGTGCCCGGCTAGCTCAGTCGGTAGATCATAAGACTCTTAATCTCAGGGTCGTGGGGTCGAGCCCCACGTTGGGCGACTTCTTTTAGGGCAAATTCTTTGAATTTGCTTCCAACGCTTTACCTAATTGATTTCGTGTCATAGTACCTTGGAGTAATTCCCCATGGGTGCCCGGCTAGCTCAGTCGGTAGAGCATGAGACTCTTAATCTCAGGGTCGTGGGTTCGAGCCCCACGTTGGGCGAGCTCTTTTGATCTACTTCCTACGCTTTTAAAAGAAGACGTCTTTCACTGCTGTCCAAAGAGAAAGTTTAGAGCCCAACTCTGGGGGGCGGCTACGGTTCCTGCCTCTGGGAATACCTTTCTCTGTTTTTTTACTTGGTCAAGTAGGGCATTTACTCTATATAGTTAAGCTTCTTGGATGCGAAAGAAGATGCAGACATGTTTGGGAAAGGTGGAGTCTGAAGGTACACAAAACGTCCACAGGGAACAGTTTGACAGGCAGAGGCTCAGAGGAGGCAAAATCCATGGAGAGTGTTGAGCACGTGTCGTTATGGAAACATGGAAGACGCATTTTTTATTACCATTGCCTCCCACACCTTAATGGACCCAATAGATAATGCCGTTTCCCACCTTTCTTCCTTCCCCATGGCAAGTAAAAGAACCAACTAAGCCACGACGGGCTGTACTTGCCTACAAAATAAAATCGAAAGGGTTTTGAGAATTCAAACTGCATCTCTACCCCCGACTCCCAGTGTCCAGCCACTGACATTTGCTCACTTCCTTCGCACCAGGCACCCTTTTTGCTCGAACAGATACACGCCGGACCAGGTCAGGTCAGCCCTGCACTTCGCCAGTATTATCCCCGATGGGAGCGACTGTGGCTGTTATTAGAGAGTGAGATGAAAATCAGTCCCTTGGTCAAATTGGCCGAGACTTTTTGACATTCCCCCGTCTCTCTGTGAAAATCCCACTGCACACGTCTTCCTTTATTATTCCTTGGAAGCTTTCGTACGTTCATTGGTATGGGTTTCACCAAAACACCCAGGACAACGAGAAGAGAAAGTGGACACATACACGTTTTCATTGGTTCTAAAAGCCAGATTCACCACACACCTCCCTCTGGCTTCACTGACGCTGTTCTCATGTCCTCCCAGGCCTCGGGACAACGCGATGGAAACGCCTGCGTTTGGGAATCCCAGTCTGGCCGTGCATGTGAATCACCTGGGGAATTTCTAACATTTCAGATTTCTGGGCTCTATCTCACACATGGCCAATCTGAGCCTGGGATGGCTTAGAAACCGTGTTTTAAGGGGGGATACCGATGGCATGTGTAGACTTTGCCACAGGGTGTGCACGCCGACGTGTCTGAAGAGGAAAGTCATGATTTCTGCAACTTACTTTCAAACGTTACAGCTCAAGGAATGCGTGCACACACGAAAAAGAGGGGAGGGGGGTGGGTAAGGAGAGCGACAGGAGGCAGGGCCTTCTCTCCTTCCAGGCTCCCATGTTCTCCTGGGTCCCCAGTAGCGGACCTGTGACGGTCCGGGCCCACTAATCCAGGACGCGGACGCGCCAGGTCGCGGGCACCGGAGCTGAGAGCGCAGAGTTGGCACCCGCGGAGGGAAGCTCAGCACCGCGCTTCCTTCGATAGCTCAGTTGGTAGAGCGGAGGACTGTAGCGGTGGCTCCCAGTCATCCTTAGGTCGCTGGTTCGAATCCGGCTCGAAGGAACCAATGTTTTGCGCCGACTTTTTTTTCCCCATTTCCATCCCCAATCCTTTAATTCCTGGGTGGGCATCCATCTGACTATCTTTATTGTGCAACGAATCTATGTTTTTATGTCTTTATTCTCCGTCACCGTGAGATCAGATACGCGCGATCAGCTGTCAGCCCCGTCATTCGCACACTGCCGGTGCCACAGGAAAGTCCGGAGCCCCGGCCGGGCGTCCAGAGCCGCGAATCCGCTCCCTGAGGGACCCGGAGCGGGAGGGGCGGGATGGAGGGGAGGACCGCCTGGCTGACCCGCCGACCGCGGGGACCGGGTGGAGCACGCGCGCTCCCTGGTGGCCAGAGAGTCAGGAGCCTCCGGAAGGATGTTCTCGGGGGACAAGGCAGCCCCGCCCGCCGGGGGGCACCCCGCGCTACGCCCTTCAATTGGGCGACGGCGGTTCTCAGCCTCCGCGGGGAACGGCTGGTGGACGCCAGCATCACCGGGGAGGCTCGGGCCACTGCAGGGAGGCCCCTCGCGCTGGTCGTTTTCAAAGCTCCCAGGTGATCTGAACGTGCTGCGAGGTTTGAGAACCTCTGCGACAAGAGAAACAAATATTTTAGAAGAAAAAAAAAAGAGAGAGAGAAATCAGTACGATTGTCTGCCCGCTTTGCGAAATACAAGGTAGAGATCTTTCTTAACAATAGAAAGCATTTCGTAATGTGGTGTCAATCTCATTTCTACCGCGTCTCAAAAATGTGATCCCGGATGCCTGAGGAGGAGTCCTCTTTGTAGGTGAGAAGGGGTTGCCTGCGGGCTGTGTGCCTGGCAGTGTCTTGTATCTTTATTCTCAAGCTTCAGCACTTTTCATTCAAACCTGCAAACGTGAGAGGAATCCCAAAAAGTTGGGCCTCGCCTGTCCCATCATGCAGAAGAGGTGACCAGCAGTATCGGAGCTCTGGTCGCGACGACCATCCCGGTCTTGAAAATGGGCGCTGAGAGGTCCGGAACCCTGACGGGGCATCTGTTAGTGAGAGGGTTTCAGCAGTTATTTTGTTTAAAAGTTGGAGAATGCGGGCATCGATCCCGCTACCTCTCGCATGCTAAGCGAGCGCTCTACCATTTGAGCTAATTCCCCGCCCTGCGGATGCCCTGTCCTTCCCTGACCCACTTTAATATTTGGAAAGAATTTAGCTTTTTTTTTTTCTGACACAAGCTGTAGTTGACCTGTCAGCCCATGGGACTGGGTGGACTGCGGTCGAAGGTGCCCGAACAGCCCCAGGACAGAATGCGGGCGCGGAGCGGGGTCCGGTCTGGAGACACTCGCGCAGCGCAGCGGGCTCAGCGCGGAGGCGGCGGACACTGGACACCAGTTTATTCGACATGAATCCACCCGCGGACGCAGGGAACCGAAGGAGGCGCCGGGGCCTCCGGGAGGGAAATCAGTGTCTCGGGCCATGGGGAGGCCCTCACCCAGCATCTGCACCTTCAAACTGCTTCGCCTCAAGCTGCAGCTCAGAAACTTCCTCCTTGAGGTTTCGTGTTACTTTTAATCTAATTAAATTGGGGCAAGAGGATCAAAATTAAAATGGAGAACGTGGAGCATCTTATTTAAGGAAGTGCCTCTGTCTCTAAGTTCTGCCGGACCTGCAGGATGACCTTCCCAGAGCCCGACGGTGTCCTAATGCTGGTTCTTCCTTCTGCCTTTTCTTTTTTTAAAATTGCAATCAGGGCTGACAAAAGTGGATGACTTCCTGTGGTAAGAAGCCCACCGCTCCCACCCCATCTTAGACGAGAGGGTTCAGAACCTCGTGTTCTCCGTGCGCGTGGAAGCCCACCGTGCATCGCAGAGAGGCTACTGTCAGCCTCGCCTTGATTCTCGCCGCCTCCTGCTGTCGCCATCCTCCTCCCTGGACAGCACGTGCCCAGCCGCAGAACAGCGTGGCCTCCACTCATGTGCTTCTGCCTGTGGTTTTCCATGGTTCTGTCAGGCATGCAGGTGCAGAACGGGAATGAAAGAAAGCAGCCCGCACCAGACCATCGCTCAGATCCACGGAGCTTTTTTTTTTTTAAAAAAGGGAAATTGTTTTTATTGTATCAATTTCTTTTAAAAATATACTTTTATTAATTTCAGAGAGGAAGGGAGAGGGAGAGATAGAAACATCAGTGATGAGAGGGAATCACTGATCGCCTGCCTCCCGCACGCCCCCTCCTGGGCATGGAGCCCGCACCCCGGCAGGTGCCCTTGCCCGGAATGGAACCCGGGACCCTTCAGTCCACAGGCCGACGCTCTATCCACTGAGCAACACCAGCTAGAGCTCCACGGAGCTTTATCAAGGCTGGCAGGGAACTGGGAGTGATGGGTTTGCCGCGGTCCCCAGGATGAGGTCTTCACTCCCTATTCCCGGAGCACATACTGAGCATTGACATTTTACAAAGGCCGACTTAGCAAACCTCCTTTGGGAAATTCAGCCTTCAAATACGAGTAACCACATCAGTGCTGAGAGGCAGTGCCGACGGGGAGCCCATTAGTTTACCTCCAGGGAGGGTGAGTGACAGGCAATACCGGTCACGGGAAGGACACAGGGAAACGGGAAACTGGTCGAGGGCGCCCTCGTGTGGCCATTGGCGCGCCCTGCGCACGGCCCCTTTAACAGCCAATATGGCGGGTAAGAAAGCCGGAAGGCTGCCGGAGAATGACAATGCACTGTAGAAAACCGAATAAGGTGGTGCCTCCGATCCATGCAGCCGTGCTTCATACCGCCACCACATAAGACACTCAGCCACTCCCCAAATCCGGAAGAAGCCAGCTGCATCCCGCCATTCCACGTCTCACAAGGCGTTCAGCAGGGTGTATTACAATTCCGGATCAGCCTTTTTGTGGGCATCTCTAGAGCCCGGAAGTCAGGCTACTTCCTCTTTCCTGAATCTCTGAACACCTCTCTTGGTTTGAATTTCCCGCTGAGCTGGGACCCACTTCCGCCCTCTGCACTAAGCCTAGACTTTCCATTGGTCAAAACCCTCATAGGCCCCACCCCCTTGCCGCAGGCGTCGCACGCAGCGTGCGTCCGACGGCGCGGCGCTTTACGGCTGTCGTGCTTCGCGTCTCGGCAAGCATGGCGGCGGGGGAGTCGGAGAAGGAAGTCGCTGAGCTGGAGCCTTTAGAAGAGAAAGACCTGAAATTAGAGGCGGAGGAGGAGCAGGAGGAATCCGAAGAGGCGGCTGGCAGCGCCAAGAAGCGGGTGGTGCCTGGCATTGTGTACCTGGGCCACATCCCGCCCCGCTTTCGGCCTCTGCATGTGCGGAACCTTCTCAGCGCCTACGGCGAGGTGGGGCGCGTCTTCTTCCAACCCGAGGGTAAGTGCGCGCGTCCGAGGAGCGGGGGGTGGGGGGTGGAGCGGTGAGTTCGCGGTGTGTGCGGGTCTGGTAGGGGCCGGGGTGGGGCGCAGCCCCGTAGCCTATCCTCGGAGAGCTGATTTGGGTTTTAACCTCGCCTCCGCCCACCCCTATTTTGGCCTGAATTTGCCAGGTTGTTAATGCGTACAGCCTGAATGAAATCGCAGTGCTTTTTCTCAAAACACAAGACATCCATTTGTCATTTCGGGCGAGGTGAAGAGACAGTCTGATCAGCCGCCCCCACCTGCCCGGCAGGCACTAACCGGAAGTGGAGTCGGGGCCTGTGCAGGTTTTAGGGCAGACCTGATTCAGGAGTGTTAGCACCTAAGTTAAAGGCCTTGCAAAGTGGGAAGCAACAAGCATTTATTTGCGATCAATAAGAAGAGCTATTCAGAAAGTACTGATTCAGAGAAGCCCCAATAGCTCCAGCTGGTTGGCTCAGTGGATAAAGCGTCGGCCTGCGGACTGAAGGGTCCCGGGTTCGATTCCGGCAAGGGTGCGTGCCCGGCTTGTGGGCGTGCAGGCCAATCAATGATTCTCATTGATGTTTCTCTTTCCCTCTCTCTTCCTCTCTCAAATAAGTAAAAGTATATTTAAAAAAGGAAGCCCAGATAGTCTAGCTCTGATTTTGAGACAAACACACAAAGGGTATTTATGAGAAAAGGGGACAATTGCATCGGGAGAAGGAAGGCATTGCTATAGGTGCAGATAACATCGGGATGCTGATTCTAAACAGTGTTTTTAATTTTCAGCCTGGTACTTATCAGTCCATTAGTCATTATGTCTGCTTTCTTGTTATCTTTGCAGAGTTCTTTGGGGCACAAAGTTGTTTTAGGCCCAATCCAAAGGTTATTTTGCCCTGTTTAAACATCCAGAGGTTTGAGCCTAAACATATAAAGCAGTTCTTTGGGATGGCAGCTCTGGTTCCAGTTTTAAGTGGCTCCATTTATATTTTGACAGGAGTTAACATTGAGGAAGGAATGAGTTAGGCATAGGGAGAAAGGGTGGACTTTGCAGTTCTCAACTCCCTTACCTACAAAGACCTTGAAGTAGGATCCCGGTCTGCAGGCAGATTTTGAGAACCCAGTGAGTGGCTGCTGCGCCTGTCTCCATGACCACTGCTCTCTTTGGCACACAGGTGGGTTCGTGCAGCGGAAGAAGAAGGCAGCGGCAGCCTCGGCCACGGGAGGGAAAAAGCGGTCCAAGTACAGCAAGGACTACACAGAGGGCTGGGTGGAGTTCCGGGACAAGCGAGTAGCCAAGCGTGTGGCCGCCAGTCTGCACAACACACCCATGGGTGCCCGCAGGCGCAGCCCCTTCCGTTATGACCTCTGGAACCTCAAGGTGAGGGGATAGGCTTGTCTGCTGCTTCTCCCATCCTACCTCCCCAACCCCAGCCTGGCACCTCTGTGACCTCTTGTTGGCCCTGCCCCCTCCTGTTTTCTCTCCATCCCTGGCCTGTCCTACCCAGACCTTTTTTTGTTTTCCTGTCTACAGTACCTGCACCGTTTCACCTGGTCCCACCTCAGTGAGCATCTTGCCTTTGAGCGCCAGGTGCGCAGGCAGCGCCTGAGAGCCGAGGTTGCCCAGGCTAAGCGTGAGACTGACTTCTATCTTCGAAGTGTGGAGCGGGGGAAGCGCTTCCTTGCTGCTGATGGGGACGCTACCCGGCCGAATGGCTCCTGGACCTTTGCCCAGCGACCTACTGAGCAGGAGCTGAGGGCCCGGAAGGCAGCTCGTCCAGGGGGTCGTGAACGGGCTCGTCTGGCAAATGCTCAGGACCAGGCTCGCTCCAACCGAGGGCTCCTCGCCAGGATCTTTGGCGCCCCACCGCCCTCAGAGAGCATGGGGGACCCCGTGGTGGTCAAGGACTCTTGAGGGGCAGGGAGTCCCCTCCATCTCCCAGCCCAGCCCAGAGTTCTGTCTAGCTGATAATGACTACTCAGGCAGACAGTTTGTTTCTCAGACCAGGAGTTTCTGGTGAGTGTCCAGATGTAGTTTGGGCCTCTCCTCCCCTCTCCAACTATTGCACATGCCTGGCTGAAGCACCTAATTCATGCTAGTAGCGTGATTATGACAACTGCAGATGCCTGTTTTGTCTCATCTGACAACCCGTTGTCTAATTTAGGATTTACCAAGTCACTATATGAGGCTGTGAATGACAGCACGTACCAACGCGTACTCCTTGGCATTAGGAATCGCATAGGAAAGGGCAGATATTTAAGAAATAAATGTACAGAGGCATCATGGTGGATGTGTGGTGTGTAAGGGGCCGTGGGAAGGTATGATTCCTGATCACAGCCTTCAGAGATGGGGTCGTTTTTTCACCAACTTTTCCAGATCATTCCTAAAGAATGAACAGAAGTCTGGAAGAGCCTGGTGAACTATAATCACAAACAGCTCCCAGGATGGAGTGTTGGGTGGAAAGCAGTGCACAGGTGAGCGAAGCCTAGGAGGTAGTGGCACAGTGACCCGCTCGGGTGCACCTCGTGTTGGGGCTCAGGGGAGCGTCGCAGACAACATGCAGAGCAGCCCGAGGCACTCCCTGTAAACCATAGGACTGAAAACGTGTCACCGTAACAGAAGTCTCCACACGGCCTTGTAGAGATCAAACTGGTCAGAATCCAGTATCCCAGCTGGGCAAATAGAGTAGTAGATCAAAGTTTAGCTAAATTTAACACTCTATAATAAAAACCCTTACAGTCCGATAATACAAAAGTTTCTTTAGGGGCATCCAGGGAGATCTTCCTACACATCTCAAAATTAATTGTGAAACATTTAAAATAGTCAATTAAAATCAAGAATGAAGATACTTCCAATTACCACTACTATTCATACACTGTCCAAGAAATCCTGGTGATACAGAGACAAAGTGGAAAAAAGGATAAAATTGCCCTGGCTGGTGTGGTTCAGTTGGTTGGAGCGCTGTCCTGTGCACTGAAAGGTTGCCGGTTCCATTCCCAGTCAAGGCACATACCCAGGTTGCATGCTTGATCCCTGGTAGGGGTTGTGCAGGAGGCAGCCAATCCATGTTTCTGCTCTCATTGTTTCTCCCTCTGCCTTCCTCTCTAATAATCAATAAAAATATATTTTTAAAAAAGATAAAATTGACATTGTAAGTATCATAATTTCAACATAAGTCTCCAGAAAATTGGTTTTGCTGGTTTGAGCATAATACTGTACATAAATGTAAATAGCACTCTGCCTGATAACACTAGATAAGGATGCCACAGACATAAAAGACCGTGCGCTGAAGTAGGAACACACGTGTGCAATGGGTATAAAAGCTGTTCTATCAGGACTAAGCACTCAACTACAGGGATGGGTAAGTATTCACTGTAATTGTATTGACAGATCAACCCACATTTCTATCAAAAGGGCATAGGTAGGATTATCAAGAACAAAAGGGGGGGATGGGGATGGGTAGGTAAGTTGATGTTCAATGGAGGTAGGCTAAACTGTATGATCGGTATAACTGTCAGATGCACAAAATGTTGACTAAGGGGGGGTCTCAGAACTCTTAGCTGTCATGTTCACCCACAAACCTCAACCCTATACATTTACCTCTCATGGTAAGGACCCTATAAACCAGAATGAGGAAAGCATTTCCTGATAAGTTAGAGCTATGTCTGGATTAACCTGTCCACTTAACATCTCCAGAAGGAAGTGTTTCTTGGCAGGACCTATTGTCCTTCACTAATTACATTGAAGGATATTTACCCTTTCCCCACTCACCTAGACCTCTCACCATAGGTGTGTTCATGTTCTCATGATGCACTACTACTGGCACTTCTGCTCTGCCCAGGAAGTGGAGCAGGGAAAAGTCGTTGAACAGAACTGAGCTGCTCTAGACGACATTCTCCCAGGTGTCTTTCTCTGGGAACCTGATGTGTTTAACATTTGGGTAACAAGGGCACTGGACTCCACCTGAGTCATTAATGGTGCATTGGTAGTTACTGAATTTTAGCCAATATGGTCAGATAAAGCTATTACTCCTCCCTGTGCTGTTTATGTCATGCAGTGGGAAGGCTCTGAAAGGAGCCACTGTCCAAAGAGCACAGAACATACTCCTTCCAGGTTTCACTCACTCTCAGCCTTAGCACCAGAATTCTAGATGGTCCATTAAATACCACCACCACCAGGACTCAGGGCCAGCCACATGAATATCCACCTTATTCTTTTTTCAGCTTTATTGAAGTACTAGAGGCCCGGTGCATGAAATTTGTGCATGGTGGTGGTGGGGGAATCGTCCCTCAGTTCCAGCCTGCAACCTCTCCAATCCGGGACCTCTCATGGGATGTCCGACTGCCAGTTTAAACTGGCAGCCGGACATCCCCCTTGCAATCTGGGACAGCTGGCTCCTAACCGCTCACCTGCCTGCTGGCCTGATCGCCCCTAACCGCCTCTGCCTCGGCCCCACCACCATGGCTCTGTCCAGAAGGACATCTGGAAGGTCGTCCGGAAGATGTCCGGTCTAAGTAGCATATTACCCTTTTATTAGTAGGGATAATTGACAGATAAAATTGTAAGATATTTAAAGTGTACATCATGATGAATTGATATATATTGTGAAAGGATTCCTGAGTATTTGCTTTATTCTAATACAAGTGTAGGGGGGGAAGTTTGTTCTTAGTATAGTAGAGACAAAATGCAGTTTTTCAAAACAAATGTTTATTTAAGAATTAAGGGAAAACAAAAACATTAAAGCATGGGAATACATTGAATACAAGTGTCTTGTTTGGTCTGAAATCTTGGAAGTTACTCTAACTACTTACCTGAGGTAGATGTAGGTTGGCACTGTTTCAAGAGAACCTCCATCCATCCCAGAAGTTACCTCCCAGTTTTGGTTACAGGCTCCCAAGTGGTCCTCCCCAACCTCAGGTTATGCTATAGGAACAGTAACAATACATTTCCCCTATGGTTAAAAGACCTCGGACTTGTTTCATACCCACAAAGTTCTGTGTTTGAGGTGGTCCATCTTTAATTTACTTGAAGGCTAGAGACAGTCATCACAAGATTAGCTGAAAAAAGGGTCAAGTCATCCTGTCAATGATACCAACTCCGTCCCCTTCTGCAAGTTGTAGTGACTAACAAGTAGCCACAGAACTAATTTCATCACCACCATGCCACACACCCATACTATTTTAGTGTTACAATAATCAAACATAGACTAGTGATAGGCATGATTTTCAAAAGAAAAACAAATACATGGTGTGTGTTTTACCACACTGGGCAACTTTTCATGGTATAAGAACTATTTATGAAAACAAACATATCAGCTTGAATCACCTCCCAGGATCTGTTTACTAAAAGAAAAAACACCTTAGAATCAGATTCCTTACTATCACTATGAGCTATACCCACTGACCCTAGGATTATCAAGATGAGCATCCAGTCATCAGGATCATAGCTTAAAGCCACACACAAAGTAGCCGCTGGCAACCTCCATGAGTCTGAGGCCAACGCTCCTGAGTTCAAGGATTCGCTATGATCGACCAGATCAACCAGACAGACTAGCAACAAAATATTTATTCACCAGTCTAGTCCCAAACACTGCAGAAATCTTAAGTATTTTTATTAAATGTCTTTTAATCTGAGGGGAAAATACCCTCAGAAGTGTCCATGTATAGATTCCTGGATTAATTACAGTACATCTAGAGAATATTAAATATAATAATTATTCTGTTAAACTGGAAATAAGTGCTTATTCTCAAACCTCTGATGAATTTGGCAACTACTTTTTCTCTCTAGCATTTAGCATCCTACATTCCAAGCCAAATAAATATCTTATATTGTGATTACAATCCTTTCCCTGGGAATAAAAAGTATTCTCTCTTTTCTTCATTCTGGCAGAATGAAGCAAATGAAAGGCATATCATCATGGGACTGAGTTTGCTATAAACAGCAGGACAATGGAGTGAAAAGAACAATGCTTTGGAGTCAGAACAGTTAAACCAAGAAGCATGGCTCCTGCATTAACTGCGTCATCGTGTGTTACTTGCCTGCGCAAGCCTAACCTTTCTTCCAGTTTTCCATCAGCCATTCTGCACGGAGCTGGTGAGGATATATTATCATTCAAAGAGATGATACGTGAAGTCAAAAAAAATGTGTATACTAGCAACATCATAACTGTCACCCTGGAATCTGCACTTCTGAGTTGAAAAGAGATGAATCTCTGAAGTGGAAATTTCAAATACCAGTGATACTCTGACATTTTAGAGAAAGGAAATTTCAAGGGTGTGCCTCAACTCACACCAAGTAAAACACTGGGTGTTTTGCTTCTATATGAGATTGGCCCTCCAAAGGAGAAACATTTGGGGGTTCTAATCCAGGATAACTCCTCCCCACTGCTTAGTTCTTTTCACTACCAGCAAGTTTCCCTAAACACCAGTCACCAATCTGGCCAAGAATTTTTTTTTTTTTAAAGAGAGATCAAGAGGGAAAGTATTCTCCTTTCCCCAACAGTGACACATGCCCACCATCGGTCACAAGGGCACAGTCCTTTCCTTTACTGGATTTCCAAAATTTAAAAAAAGAGAAATTAAAGCAATCATCAACTAAGTGGTTCAGATAAAAGCATCTTCACCTGAGTTTCCCATCAGCCTGCTCTGAACAGCCCAAGCTCCTCCCACGACAAGCTTCTGGGTACCTAACAACTGTTTACATACTGACTCATTAAAGCCGCCTCCACCCCAGGGGTCAGCTAACTGTGAGCACAGTTATTCTCATATCTATTATATGTACAAGGTCCACAACTAGATCTCTCACTAGAGCAAAATTCTCTGCAGAGTAGGTTCTTTGGGGCCCCAAAGTAGAGGTTTCTAGCAGGACTTTTTTCAGACTCGAGATATTTACGGGGTTTTCACTCGTGTGAGTTCCCTGGTATACCAAAGGAGCTGGTCATGGACAGCTTTTCTCAGACGTCACAAGGGCTCTTCTCAGATGGCTTTTTGTGTTGTTCAAACCCGAGAAGGTTCTCCATCTAATGCTTTCGCCACATTCCAGACAAATACCTACATTTTCACCAATATGGCTTCTTTGATGGGTAAGAAAGTCATAGTTCTGTTGGAAGCTTTTTCCACACTTGCTAGGGTTTCTCCCCAGCGTGGGTTTTCTGACGTCCAGTGAGCTGTACACAGTGTGTGAAGCACTGTTCACACCAAGGGCATTTCTTTTGTTGCGAATTCCCTCAGAAAGAGAGGAGTGAGCACTGCTAGGAAGCTCTCTCACTCTGCATCTCCAAGGTTCCCCACCGGTACGAGTCCTCTTGTGGGGATCAGCTATGAGCTCAGACTAAAGATTTTCCAAACCTGAAGGCCTTTGAAGGTTTCTTGTTGGAGTGACTGATAGGTATTCTGTTAGGGTGGCTCTCTGGGCAAACCATTTCCCAACTTCCTAAAATTGCAGATTCTCTGGTCCCCACTGAAGTCTGAGCTCTCCCAAAGGTCTAAGATTTGCCTACAGTTTTTCATCTTAATGAGTTCTCTGACTCGTAAGTGCATTTTTTTGTGGTGTTATAACTTCTTGTCTGGCCAAGACGTCTGTGAGGTTTCTGATGGGTGGGGAGGGCTGAGCTCAAGCCCCTTCTCACCCGCATGACAGATAGATGGTTTCTCACTGAGGTGGACTGTCTGATGTTGGAGGAGGGCTGAGCCCTGGCGGAAGCCTTTGTCACACACACTGTATTGATAACGCAGCTCCTCTGTTTGAGTTCTCATTTTCGGTTGGGCAACAAAGCCCATGCCTAGGAGAAAGCCGCTCTCACATGCAGACCACTGGTGTGGCTTCTCTTCCATGTGAATTCTTTGATGCACAATAAGGTCTGAGCCACAGCTGAAACTTTTCTCATATTCAAGGCATTTAAAAGTGTGTGTG